ACATTCAGTGATTTGGGGACTGCCAAGCTTGGTGCCTCACCTGCAGGTGTCCAAGACGCTCTTGAGTCTCACAGAAGAGCAGTCCCAATACATTCTAGAGACTGCATTCGTAGAAATCCTGTATCATGTCACATTTTTGATAGCCTTATGCCACAGAACAGGCCAAATAAGAAACAGCATTTACAAGCATTCCGGAGTCAGGCTGTCTAGGTGCAAATCCAGTTTTACCATTTCCTGAGCAAGTCACTTAATCATTGTGTGCCTCAGTTTCCTCATCTGCAAAAGAGGTTCAAAAGTCACATCTACTTTGTGTGGCTTTTAAGAGGATTCACTGGGTACATATTTATAGAACTCTTCCAACAGTGCCTCACAGATAGTAAGTACTATACAGGTGTTCCATTACTAAGAATATCAGCCAGTCTCAATCCCAGGACCCAAGGGAAAACACGCAGAGGAATTTGTGGCTGGGAGTGGGGAATCCCTCCTCTTTAACTCAGTAGTTATGGTGACCATATTTTCTAAATAAAAAATCAGGACACTTCACTGCAAAATATTTGGGTTCCGGTTCTGACTTCAACCACATAAGAAGAATTATCAAAATTGGGTGTGGTGATGATGTTTTGTAAGGACGCTGCAACAAAATATTTGGAGGTGGAGTTCTTTTTAGATATATGATCCCTCTACTGGTGTTCGGTACCCTCATATCTTTAAAGGATCACTCAATATTCTTCAAAACAAAACAAAACAAAATGCTGAGTAGCATGGAATGTCTGTTTAGGCAACTGCTATTACCTTTTTTTCTCTCCCTGTACCTGTTTTTGAATGGTGAAAGCTCACACCGTGCTCAGTTGTCACACAGCCAGAATCCTGTACAAGGCAGGCTTTGATGTGGCCTGACTTCCTCAAAGAAAAAAAGGGAAAGCCCTATTGAAAGCCAACTTCATTTCAACCACTGTGTAAAGACCCTCAATCTTATTCAAACCTCAAAACAATCGTTTGTGGTGGGTGTTATGATTTACATTTACAGCTGAGGGAGCCTAGTGTAGGAGGGTTTTGAGAGTTCCGCAGGCCCATCTGCCAGAGAGTCTGGGCACTTACCATTCTGTCTTCCTGGCATGGGAAGTTGGCATCCTCTTCTGTCCACTCCGTTATCAGCAAAGCAACAGGCTCATTGTTGATTCCTTTCCTTTGCTGCTGTTTGTGTGCAAATTCATTCATTCATTCATTCATTCATTCATTCATTCATGGTGTGTGACCTTTGAGAAACAACTTACTCCTTCTTCCCTATTCTTCTTATTCACTGGCAATTATTTTATCAGTAACTTACTTTGCAGTTAGTCTTAGAAGTGCAATGGAAAAGACTTTACTGTGGGAAGGGAATGATAGATAGTTGCCACTATGAATGTGATGATCCCCAAATCTGTATCCTCTCCTGTGAGCCCCAGACCTGTGCCACTCACAGTCTCCAAAATTGAAAAATATGATCTTCTAGCCCCAGCCTGGCCCTCCTCCATGTCCCTGTCTTAGGGAACACCACCACCACCCACCTTGAGGAAAAATCATAATCCAGATAACAGAAACTTCTATAATATACAAGGATCTCATAAACTTTAATGAGAAAAAGATAAGCAACCTAATGGGAAAAAAAAAGGCAAAGGATACAAAAGGACAACTCTCAAAAAAGGAAATCCAGATTACCAACAAGCAGAGAAGATGCTTAAATTTCTAGAGGTCAGGGAAGTGTAAATTCAGACAACAATGAGATGTCACTTTATGTCTGATAATTAAATGTGAAAACAAAATCACTGGATGCGTGCAGAGTGTAAGGGAAAGGTAACTCAGGTGTTAAGTTAGGATGGAAGTGTAAATTGCAAATGCAAGCAGTGTGGCAGCTTCTATTAAAATAAAGGATCTAAAAAAATAAAAAATAAAAATAAAATAAAGGATCTATTTGCCCTTTAATTCAGCACCACTCCTGGGACATTGTCCTACAGATCTGAAACCAAAAATGCACAAGAACCTATACACAGAAGTAGTTATAACAGTTTTTGCAATACGAGAAACTAGGGACCAAAGGGGTGTTCAGCAGTAGTGGATGGCTAATTAATATGGTTCATTCGTACTCTGGAATAATATGTAGCCATTAAAAAGAATAAAGTCTTGCCACGCCAGTGGATTTGGTGTGAACTTTTATGAGGTATTCTTTTTTTCTTTAAGATTTTATTTATTTATTCATGAGAGACACAGAAAGAGAGGCAGAGACATAGGCAGAGGGAGAAGCAGGCTTCTTGCAGGGAGCCTGATGTGGGACTCGATCCGGGAATCTGGGATCACACCCTGAGCCAAAGGCAGACGCTCAACCGCTGAGCCACCCAAGCCTCCCTTAAGAGGTATTCTTGATGGGAAAGGCAAAGGTGCAGAGAAGTATGCATAAGACCATTTTGTTAAACCATGACAAGTTCCATATTATATGTAAGGAGATATATATGTATGAATGTATATATATATATATGTGTGTGTATGTATATATGCGCATTATACATGATACATCTTTGTCTCTAGTTGATGATATGAGCAAGGAGGGAAAAAGCAAAGTGTATATTCTGAATCGTTAATGTAGATTACCATACTGAGGATGCTTATAGGGTTTGGGGGTAAGGTGTGCACACACACACACGCACAGGCCAGAGAAGACTGTGCTAAATGCATATGTTACCATTCTGTATGTGTATAAAATTACATGTGTCTATGTATATTTTGTTTTTAAACACATTTTTAAAAGAAAGAATTCATCTTATTTTGTCACCATCCTGTCTAAAACTCTTTGGTAGCATTCTCTTCTCAACATAAAGGGCAGAATTTTGTCTGAGGCCTTGCAAGGCCTGGCCCCTGCCCTTGCATGTTGCCCGCTGGCACCTCTTGTCTTGTGGCATTGCCTTCCTGCCTCAGGAGCTGTTGTCCCTAAGCAAGGAGCTGCCCCTGTCCACTTGGTGGGGCTCACTGCTCCTCATCCTTCCCAACCCTTCCCTCACCCCTCATGGGCTCCCCCAGTGGATGCTCTTACTGACACCCCATGCTTCTACTTGCTGGCGCTGACCACAGTGTTTGTCTAATTATTTGGATCAAGTCAGACGTCCCTACCAAACCATAAGCTCTGAGAGAGGGCAGGGACTGCATCTGTCTCATTCTGGGGTGGGGGAAGCTGCCACATAGTAGAGCTACCCAGTGAGTATTTCCAGAATGAGTAATGGGACCGGGCTGCTGTGAAAGCGGGGCTGAACGGAGAGTCAGGAAATCTGTGTTCTGGTCCCTCTGCTGCCATCACCTTGCCAAGTGACTTCGAAGCCTGTTTTGCTCATCTGTGCAGTTGGTGCCACTACTGCGATGTGTGTGCTGAGCATTAAAAAGCAACGAGGGCTGCTGGTGTATAACTGCGGGCAGACTCCCTTCATTGGTGGAGATGGGTTCTAAAAATCCTCGCAACAGACAAATAGGAGACGTTTACTTCTTGTTTGAAATTACTGAACACTGTGGCCTACAATTGGTCTATTTAATAGTCTTAATTTTTTTTCCCATGCTCTTTCAATTACCCTGATTGCTGGCAAAAATGTCAGTCAAGTTTTAATTTATCTTTAATGTCTTTCCCTTAACGGCTGCTCTTCTCTTGTAGCAAGAAAGTCAAGTCTGGAACCAGATGCATTTAAACCCATTCTGGGGTATCGAGAATATCCCAATCTAGTGGTGGTAGGAAATATTTAACAAGTAGATTGGTGCAGAGTGGGGAGGAGTCTGAGCTTGAAGCATTAGTTCCTTTGCTGTAAATACTCCCACCATGTGGATTTCAGGCTATCAGCCAGGCTTGGCTGAATGAGGCAGAGACACCAACAGTTGGCTCATGAGGGACAATGGGAGCCAGCTCCCCCACACTCCCCATGCCACCAAACCTAGTCTCATACCCTTAGTCTGTATCTTGCCCCCCTGGCTTGCTCCCCAGTTCTTGTTTCTGATCTAATAGTCCCTGCAGTCAGCCAAGAAAGATGCCTGACCAGCATGATTACCTCCTCCTCCTCCTCCTCCTCCTCACCCCTCCCCACAGTCACTAAACCCCCTGGCTTTCCCTCCCAAGCTGCTCTAGAGTCTGCCCTCCTGTGAACCCTGTCCACCCACACCCTGGCCTGGCCCCTCCAATCTGCCACCCTCTCGTTGCTCTGGCACTGATGCATGCCTGTCCCCAGCAACCACTGCCAGCCCTGCCGAAACTTAAATTACATCATGCCAGCCTTGTGGCTTTCCCTTGTCATTAGGATCCATTCCAAACCTTCAGCAATGTCTTACCTGACACCCCCATACCCCCACTCGCATACACCGTGACCTGGCCCCGCCTGCCCCCTCCAGGCTCATCCCCTACCTGTGACCCACTTGCTCTGTTGTCTAGCCATTGGGAGCTGCTTTTATTTCCGCAAACACACCAGCTTCTTCTTGGCTTTCTTTGGAGGCGCTGCTTCCTCTATCACTACAATTACCTCCCCTCCACCCCACCCCACAGCCCTCAGCTGGGCCCTCCTGCCCTTTGGGGATGGATGCCTCCTTGGGAGCGTCAGCATGACTTCCTGGGGAAGGCGCTGGATGGGGTGGCTTCCCAGGCCTGCTTTGTCTTCCCCACTCAGCAGGACCTCTTGAGGGCCTGGAGTGACACCTGTCTGGTTGGCTGTCATGTTGGCAGTGCTGCCCTCAGTACCTAGCAGGGACTCGGTGCTCCATCAAAGCTGAATCGATGTCTTGCTTATGTGGACCCCAGTGCCCCCATGAGAAAGTATACTCCCCAGTGGTCACACACATCCTACTTGCTGTGTTTTCTCTTGGCAGCCAAAAGTATAGGTGATGAGTCATTTTTACTGATAAATTTACCCCCCCACACACAAAGAGCATCTTGGAGGATAGGTTTCTGTCTTCAATAAAGCTGTGTTGTTTTCCCTAACCAATTTCTTTTTCCCTCCTAGGCTCCATCAGCTCTAATCCCCGGCCAGTGTTTGGAGCTGTGAATGGGAACGTAACTTTCCATGCATCAAGCTCTATATATTTCCCAGAGATCCTGTGGAAAAAAAATATGGATAAAGTCATTGAATGGGAAGAATACCATGGCAGCAGAGCTTTCCCACCTTTTATAGGTAGAGTTCACCTGAACACCATGTCAGGTGACCTTACCATCTTCAATCTAACATCATCAGATGAAGATGAGTATGAAGTTGAGTTTTTAGGCACTGCAGATGACATGAAGTTCACTCTGCTTGTACTTGGTGAGTATTCCATAAATTTATTTGTTTATGACGATGCCTTTCCAACTCTTTAAAGAGACTAACACTACTTAATGGTTTATGAGAAATGAGAAAATTTGATCTCGTAGGCTGTCAGGGTGTTCTTCTCTGTTTGGCACACAGAGAAGTGTCATTGTGTCATCCCCAGAGTCATTCCCCTGGTCATCCTCCGAGTGGGAGAGGATGTGACTAAGGTAGAGGGAGCAGCCCCAGCTAGGCAGAGCTGCTGCCAGCAGCAACACTTATCTTACTAGGAATATTCCGGAAAGGGATGTAGTGGTAGCCATGAACTCAGAACTCGTTGAGCTCCATGGAGAGGTGATGCTCTAGAAATTAGAGTTCCTGCTTCCACTGCATCACACTCCAGGGAGTGGATTTGTTTTTTCTCCTATGTCACTTTATATGGGAATTGGAGATAGCGTCCACGTTCCTCCATGCTACTCATGGATGTTTCCAGATCATTCTTCTTGTTTTGTCATTTATAGGCTCATGGGTACATCCCAACATTTCTGGATCATTTGGTTGCCTGGCTCACTTTTGCAGTTTCTGATGTTCCTACTGTCATAAATCTTAGTGATTATGATATTTAAATATTAAATTCTACTGTCCTGGCTTCTGAGTCCCTGATCCCTCTCCTGTGATGGTCGTGTCCTCCATCCCCCCTCCCGCCTCCCCCCACCATGGATAGAACCTAGAAGTTGTCATTACCACTCATTCTAAGCCCTCCACTGTATCATGCCAGGTGCCCCTTTCTGAAGCTCTCTTCCCCTGCTCTGCTGGCTCTGCCAGTCCTTCGCCTCACATAGCCCCCTGTCCTCCTTAGGCAGCCCGAGTGTGCTCACTCAGGGGACCTACTCATTGCAAGGCCTGCTTAGTTTCCTCATTCCTTTTCTGTGGGTCACACTCCGATGGCCTGTCTCACCAGGTCCAGTCCAGTGTGCTGTCTATTCTAGTCTCACACACTGTGGCTGTGGAGAAACTCATCACCCCGCAGAGCCCCACACTTGAGTTTCTGGTTACTTGCCTCAATCAAATCCAACATGTCCCCCAGCATCCTAGCAATGATATTTCCTCTCCTCAAGCCTTGACCACCCCCTTCTCCAGATCCACTCCTCGACTGGAGGCTTTGCTTCTTGTTCACTGAGAGAGAGAGGCCCTCAGGGGAGAATTTCCACAAGCTGCCCACCCTCTGCCTTCCTGCCTCCCTGCCTGCCCTTGAGACTGTGTACCATGCTCACAGGCCAAGCCCTCGGCTGTGCCCTGAGCCCTGTCTCCTGTCATGGCTCTTGGGGACATCACCCTAGTCGTTCACTTGCACTGTTCCTATAGCAGTGTCCTCCATGAACTGCCAGCCTGTCCCTACCAGCATGTCCTGCTCTTCTTTTCCAGCTGTTACCCACTTGCCATGTTGCGTTTATAGAAAATCTCCTTGAAGGGTTGCTTTATAACTGCTTCTCTCCTACCCCCTTTTAATCCACTCCAAACAGGCTTTTATTCCATTACTGTACCAAAAACTCTTGATCTCCTCATTCATGAAGCCAGTGATCCATTCATGCTCTACCCACATCTTTCTTGGCCACTCAGCAGCATCTGACATAGCTGACCACTCCGTCGTCTTTGAAACACGGCCTTCTCTCAGCATCCAGGACACCACGCTATTCTGGTTTTCTTTTAACTCACTAACTGTTACTACTTAGCTTCCTTGGCAGTTCCCTCATCCTGCCAACCTCTTCACACTGGAGACTTTAAGACTTAAGCCACCCTTCTCTGCTTGCATTCACTCCCAGGTGAGTGAGCTCATCCAGTGTCAGGGCTTTAAATATCATTTTGATGCTGATAATGCACAGATGGGAGAGCTCTTGCCTAGAGCCCCACTGAGCTCCTTACGTGTTTCTGACTGCTTAGTTTCTATCTCCACTTGGATATTTATCTAATTTGCCTCTCCAATCACATGGCCAAAAGTGAGCTCATCAACTTTCCCTTAAAGCCTGTTCTTTCCCAAATCTTTCCCCTGCCTTGGTTAATGGCAGCTCCTTCCTTTCAGTTGCTTGTGCTAAAACCTTGATGTCATCCTTGACACCATGTTTCTCTTCCTCTTTCTCTTGAACACCATGTTTTCTCCACCAGGAAATTTTATTGGTTTCATAGAACCTAACCACCTCTCACCACTTCCTCCAGTGCTCATCCAGGGCTCCTTCATCCTCATTTGGAGGAGTGCAGTAGCCCCCTAATTGGTCACTCAGCTTCCACCATTGTCCACTTACAGAAGACATTTTGTGCTATTTTTAAATTTAATTAATTTTACCCTGTTTTATTGAGATGTAATTGACATATATCACTATATGAGTTTATGGCATACAGCATAATGGTTTAACTGACATATCTTATGACCACGGTTTATTTTTAAACACAAGGAGCCAGCGTGATCTTAAAACAGAAGTCAGAGCATGTCATTTGTCTGCTCAGAATCTTCTAGTGGCCCCAGCTCACTCTGAGTTAAAGCTAAGACCTATAGTGGCCTGCAAGGCTGTATGAGATCTGGCATCCATGACCTCTTCTTTCTGTTCTTGGGCATCCTAGTGTTGCTCTTGACTTTGGTTGCCTTTTCTGTGCTGCCCCTCAGCATTCACAGCTGAACTGGTATCCATCTCCCCCCCTCTGTGGGGTCGCAGGTTCACTGTTTTCTCCTAGAAGAAGGTATCATTCTAGCCTTCCCTTCTCTATGCCAAAGGTGTTTTAGAAAGGTCCAACTGGTAGCAAAGTATATAAGATGGTCTCCAGGGGCAGTGAAGAGGCAGAAAGTCCCATGTCAAAGTTCATGTCTGAGCTCTTAAGTCTTGTCTGAGGCCATCTCAGTGGAAAGGGATGGGGTGATAAACTGGTGGAACAGCTATTATTCACCAGGTCACTTACCTGGTCTGCTGGAGACATTGGAAGGAAGAGATACTTTCTCTTCTGTTCATCATTATAGCTCCAGAGCTCAGCAAGGGACTTCAAGAGGTACTAGGTATTCTATAAATATTTATTATAGCAATGAAAGCAATCAAACCAGGTGACTGCAAGGTGAGAGGTGCAGACAACAGAAATGGGGGTGCTCAGCCTGGGTGGCTGGTTTGTCCAGAAGATGATCAACTCCATTTAGAAGAGTGAGGTGTGTTAAGGTGTACAGGCATGCCATTAAAGGAATCAGTGGATGCCTTTGAAGAAGCAAAGTTTTTAAAACATGCACGTTGGTGATCTGGCCATATATAGAGCCAGCAACTCAAAAGATTGATTTCAAATTTAGATAATAATGGAATGCATTTTAAGAGCCCTTGCATAGAGTTTGTAGAACTGAGTTCAAACTTTTGAATACATTTATCTTTTTAAGTTTGATGAAATGTTTAAAAACAATTTGATTTTTTAAATTCCATGGTAACTCAACTAAGGTACTTGATTTCAGGAGTCAGACCAACTGAGTAGCCCCTAGAGACCCTAATTAGCAAAGACCTGCAGAGCAGCAGAGTCCAGGGGAGGTGAGTTTGATCAGGAGACAGTGATCTGGGCAGCATTAAACGTGGAACCTCAAGTCCTGGCTTGAGATTTTAGCCTCCAACAGTGGGGAGCCACCGTATCCAATCCTGGAACAGAGAAGTGACCTGATGAAATCTATTTTCAGATGATTAATTAGATAGTAGGTATTTATGGTGGATTAGAGAGAGGGGACATCAGGTTGGAAGCTACTACAATCTTCTAGGGAGATAGGTGTTGCTAGTAGATGTTGGGAAAAGAAAGAAAGAGAAGACACTTCTAAGAAAGAGTCAAGCAAATTTAGATTTGGTTATAAAAAGACATAAGGTGACTCAGGATTGCACACCTGAATGACAAATGATTGGTCATACTTTTTTTCTTTTTCTTTTTTTTTTTTTTTAAATGAGGAAGGCCTACTTCCTTCAGGGTGTATTAATACTTAAGTGACTTGGTAATCTTCCGGAGACACCAGGCCTAATGGGAGATTTTCAGAAAGGATATTTTAGACAGGGGGGTTTCCTGGCACCTCCTAAATTCAGGCCATCGACTTCCTTCTGTGTGTAATTTGGTATTTGGTTTCCTTCTTCCCTCAAAATCCCCTTCAAATTTCCACTGTCGACGTTTATTAGTTCTTTCTCTTATTAGTTGCCTTGAAGATAGTGATGTTCATATAAGTGGAATTGACTGTTCTTCCTTAAATGACCTAAAGTGGTATAACTGTTTATTAAAGGTAATAGAAGTAAACAAATATCATCAGATATGTGTAATATTCTCAATATTAAAGAGTAGTAGTGAGCTGAGTTCATTAATTATAAATTGGCTAAGTTATCTTAAGGATGAAGTAAGTACATTTCCTGCCAGTTTGATGCTGCTTAAGGTACAGAGATAATTATTTGTTAGAGATAGCTGTGGGAAGTCTCAGGGGCAGTGAGAGAATGTAAGGATTATAGACAGAAAGACTGGAGTTGTAGAAGCTGTGCCCCAGATGCTGCAAGAAGGTTTGCATGCTTTTCCATGAGCAGGATCAGTTCTTCCAGCAACTGTGGTAATGAAACCACCAGAAAGAGCATTTGTATAGTTAAGTGAGCTCTAACAACACAGAAAATCATGCTAGCTCTTCCCCTATGCCCTTTCAAATTATTTTCTTTTTTTTATATATATTTATTTATGATAGTCACAGAGAGAAAGAGAGAGGCAGAGACATAGGCAGAGGGAGAAGCAGGCTCCATGCACCGGGAGCCCAATGTGGGATTCGATTCCGGGTCTCCAGGATCGCGCCCTGGGCCAAAGGCAAGCGCCAAACCGCTGCGCCACCCAGGGATCCCTCAAATTATTTTCATATGCCACTAGACATTTACAATATTTTAGAGTATTATATTCCATTTTGCAGATGAAAACGACACAGATTTAGCAGTGGGTTTCTCCCTCTGTAGGACAGGAGGCCTGGGCTGGCTGATTTCTCAAATGTGTTCCAGCTACCACAAGAGCTGTGGGCCAAGTGACACAGCCAGCCAAAGCAAAAGCTCACACCTGCCAACTCCTGGTTGTATCACAACGCTCGTGGGGGAGCCTTGCCTTCTCGCCGTGTGCTCTGTTACAGCTGACGTGCCTGTGCCAGGCACTGCATGTTAATCCATGTGTCACTTACTACCCATCTCCCCTCATTAAATCTTCATCTCCGTTGTTAAGGGGAGACATTATTTGTTTCTTTTTTTTTAATTTTTTAAATTTATTTATGATAGTCACAGAGAGAGAGAGAGAGAGGCAGAGACACAGGCAGAGGGAGAAGCAGGCTCCATGCACCGGAAGCCCGATGTGGGGCTCGATCCCCGGTCTCCAGGATAGCGCCCTGGGCCAAAGGCAGGCGCCAAACTGCTGCGCCACCCAGGGATCCCCATTATTTGTTTCTTAATTGTACAGGAAAGGAAACCTAACCACAGGGAAGGTTAAGTAACTTGCCCAAGGGCGTCTGACTCTTCCTGGTAAAGCTCTGGTGTGAACCCAAGCAGTCAGGTTCTTGAATCCAGGCTCTCAGCCACCACACCATTCCTTTTCGGAGAGGAGCTGATTGAAGAATTTACATTTTATACAGTAGAGAGAATAATTGGGAAACTGTCTCCCTGAATTTATCCATCTATCCATCCATCCCTCCATCTACTCAACATATGTTCTCCTTATTGAGGAGCTGTGTGCCTTGTATCATGTCAGGGCTTATGTGTAAGAGGTGAGTAGTATCTAGTCTTTACCCTCCAAAGATGCACAGTCTGAGGGGATTCATGAGGCACCTCTGTTTAGTTCAGAAAGTGTTGTGTGTGTGTGTGTGTGTGTTTTAAAAGATCTTATTTATTCATGAGAGACACAGAGAGAAAGGCAGAGACATAGGCAGAGGGAGATAGGGGCTCCTTGCAGGGAACGCACTGTGGGACTCGATCCCCAGACCCAGGATGACGACCTGAGCCTAAGGCAGGTGCTCAACCACTGAGCCACCCAGGCGTCCTTATTCAGAAAGTGTTTAATGAAATGCTAGACATTGGCTGAACCAGATCAATTAACTAGAATCTGTAACAGAACACAAGGAGCACCTTCTCAGTATCTGTATTTTTAATACAGAGCCCTGGTGGCTTCTCATGCCCATTAATATTTGAGAAATGCTTCTGTGGAACATTTCCAAGGAACTAGAAAGCTCAGTTGCAGGACTCTGAGAATTGCTCAGCTCGGGTGCAGTGACAGGCATAAGTAAATCCAGAACCTGGAACCATCCCTTCAGTTTCTCAGCTGCACCGAGACACACAGGGCTGTGAGGAAGTGCTTCTGGGGCTGCTATGGGCGTGTGGTTGGCAGGGCGGCCTGAGGAGGCTGAGGGAGGAGGGCTCAGGCTTTCTAACTTTGACTCAATGAGAACAACTCCTTACTCTTTTGAAGACTGCTGGTCTATTGCTTACAATTTAACTTGGAGAAATTCTCCATTGCTTACTTTCGGGCAGCAAGTAACAAGTTATGTGAGCTAGAGTAGACCTAACAGCTCAAGAAGTCCCAAGCAGAAAGGGAAGTTATGGATAACTTAGGTCTCCAACCGGGTGTGTTACTTAACCAAGTGTGAAAGAAGTCTAGAGAAGATGGGGGCGAGGGGGAGGGGAGAGGAGTTGAATATTTTCAACTAGATTATTAGATTATTTTATTGTTTTATGTTTTTAAAGATTTTATTTGTTTATTTGAAGAGAGAGCAAGAGAAAGAGAGAGCAGCATAGTAAGTGAACGGGGAAGTAGCAGAGGGAGAGGGGGAAGTATGGTCCCCAATGAGCAGGGAACCCCATGTGGGGCCCCATCCTGGGACCTCCGGATTGTGACCTGAGCCGAAGGCAGACACCTAACCCACTGAGTCACCCAGGCGCCCTAGATTATTTTAGATTAATAATTAGAACATAAGCATTCCTTTGTCTTAGAAAATATCATTTTAAATAGCAGCATAGTAAGTATTCCATCATCTTGATAAACATGAATTTGCTTGAATTTGCTTTTTTAGTAGATGTTCACAATGCGTTGAAATTTTATTTATGCAAATGCCACACACGACCATTTCCCAGAGAGACCATGTGTTTGTTTTCTCGAATTTCTCATGGTTAGTTGTTGGGACAAAGTAGAGATGCAGGAAGGCATGTGAATTAAATAAACAAATGTCTAATGGGATAAACTAGCATTGTGGTTCTTAGCTCATCCTTGCAGGTTCAGGCTGCTGTAGCCAGTAGGGGGCATTTGCTAGAGAAAGGCTGGGCTTCTAGCCTGACAGGTGTGTGACAGGTACCATCCCCTATTCTGCCGATTAGCAGAGCCTGCTCAGAGTACGACTCCACCATACGTTTTGCAAACACTGTAAGTCAGATATCTTAGTATATGTGCTGCCGAAGCGAGCACAGTTAGTCAGATATCTTTTGGAAGTAAACGTTTTAGATTTTAGAGAGGTAGTATAAACTCCCCTACATATGTTAAGAAGCACCCCACTTAGTTTTGAGGACCACCTCATACTCAAGCACAGGAATATTTTTAGTACAACATGATAATGAATATTTGAAGTAAGTGAGAAAAATATGGGGCACCTGGCCAACTCGGCCAGTAGGGCACGTGACTCTTGATCTCAGGGCAATGAATTCAAGCCCCACAATGGGTGTGGAGCTTACTTGAAAAATAATAAAAGAGAAATAAAAAGGAAATAAATGAGAAAAATACAAACTATTAAATCCTCATGTCAATTCAGATGAGGATTTGCAGCTAAGTGACTCTGTTGTTATCTTGTGTAAAATCTTTTGGTTTTTGGAATTGAGGATAAGGGATTCAGTGCCTGTATGTATTCTGAATTTGAGTAGGTAAATCTGAGCCAGAAGAAGAGAATTCTCTCCCTTTGGTGCTCAAGGAGGTGGTCTGTTTGTCTCTTCAAGCTCATAAGGAAACTGGAAGCTCTTCATACATTTGTATATGATGAGTCTAAATTACTCTTTTCTATACTGAATATTACATTTCTTTTTTCTTTCCCCCCAGATCCTCTTCCAATTCCAACACTAAATTGCACGTCAACTCTTGAAGATATTATAGTCCACTGCAAGATCCCAGAATCTTATAAGAGACATACAAACTATACGGAGTACTCATGGAGTTGCTTTTCAGCACACTGTATAAATACTTCCGATCCATCTGAAGTGCTTATTAAGAAGAACAATGATCTCTCACAGAAAATACAATGTACTATTAGCAATCCATTATCCAAACAGATATCTTCGCTCGTTTTAGCAACTTGTGTCCCACCTGGTGAGTAAATAACCAAACGTGTCATGCAGAGATACTATATACAAGTGGGGCCCAGGGACTGGCCCCTGAAACTCTGGTTTGGGAGTTTCAAACCAGAGATGTAGTAGCTGACATGCATTTCATAAATCTGAAATGCAAAATAGAGTTATGGTTTTCACAGACACTGCATTATAGATATACAGCTAACATTTCTTAGCCTTTTCTGTGTCAAGCGTCGTCCGAATACATTTGTTAATTAATTCCATCCTCACACAGCTTCACACAACTGCATGCGTTGGGTACTAGTCATAATCTTTATTTTATGAAGGAGAAACCAAGACACAGGGAGTTTAGTTTGATTGCCTCAGGTCAACAGTTAGTAAGGGGTAGAGCCTGGTTTTGAAGTCAGGCCATCTGGCTCCAGAGCCTATGCTCTTAATTACTCACAACACTACTTCATAACGTTAATGATCACCGTGTTCTTAAAGGTTGCACGTGTGCTACAAGAATGTGCATTTGGTACATTCCTCTAGGCTATTCCATGAATAGCGTGACAATCTGTCTTGGCTGGGGTCCTTTTATTTTGTTTAACTATCATGTACCTATGTAATCCGCAATTTTTATGATTTTTTTTACATTATATTCCCAGTTTACAGACAAAAGGATCAGTAATTTTCAAGTGGTTCATGAAAATATACACGAAGAGATGAAAATAATAAGCAGTAAATACGGAATAATATCATGATTATAAGTAGTGAACAGGATTTGAGGGCAAATACAGACTGTGAATCTCCTTGGGCAGGGACAGGGTGATTCTGTGAATCATTTTTTTCTGAATAAGCAACTGAAACAGAAAAAGGCAATTAGTCAATACAGTGAATATAAAAAACTTGAATTATATTTGATTAGTGAGCCATTCTCCCTGAATCTCCCATGTATCATCCTTTTTGAAAATTTTCTTTTGTTTTTTTCTTTTTCTTTTCCTTTTTTTTTTTTTAAGTAGGCTCCATGCCTAGCTTGGAGCCCAGCATGGGGCTTGAATTCACAACCCTGAGATCAAGACCTGAACTGAGATCAAGAGTCAGACACTTAATGGACTCAGCTACCCAGCCACCCTCAAAATTTCAGATAATGACATGGAGGGATTAAGTTCGTTATATAATTTTCAGACAAAGCAGTGTGACTTCTTGGGTAAAACAAACAAATACTTCCAGACAAAGGACAAAATGAATTCCAGTTCATAACCGATGGTTTTGGTCCCTAAAGGCAGAGAAAAGACCAAACTCATAGAGGTGCCACTCAAAGTGGCACCCTTCGTGTAAGGCACACAATTGTCCAGAAGATTTGAAAACCAACTGCAAAGTCATTGATAATCGTTATGCTTGGAGGAAACATTTCTTTATTAATTCCACTTAATAGGTGGAATTTCCAAGGCTTACTCTGGAAATGCAATTTGCCTGCTAGCAGATAGTGTGGGAACAAAAAACCAAAAGCAGTGTACTTTTTATTGGCTTGGCATGGGCATGATGCACATAACCAACAAGAGAAAGAATGTGTTGTGTACAGAGTGAATAAGCAAGTTGAAATCTTGAAAAGCTTCTTGTGTCCCAAGAGTCAGATACTTGGAAGGAAGTAATTTCTGAATAAGATCCTCTATAGAATCATATGGAATATTTTAAGAGATTTTCTAGCATTTTGCCCTTGCATAGGTTTTCATTTAACCTTTATCCTTAGAATTGAATGTCCAAATAAGATGTCCTTTCCTTTAGATACCTTGAGAAAAGATTGTCATGAATACATCCCTCTCATTGATATGATGTGCTGTTGTTAATTTGCAAACAAACCCTTTTTGCTATTAAATAATAGTGATTCCTCTTTCTTTTACATTTCCCCCAAACTGATAGTTCATATTGCAGTGTAGATTTTGAAAGTTTGAGAAACATTGCTAGATAGTTCTTAGGTCATTTAAATCCTGGAGTAGTGCTGGGCGCCTGGGTGGCTCAGGCGGTTAAGCATCTGCCATCCACTCAGGTCATGATCCCAGGGTCCTGGGATCAATGCCTGCATCATTGGGCTCCCTGCTCAGCAAGGACTCTGCTTCTCCCTCTGCCCGCACTGCCCGCCCCCCTACCCAAGCTCTTTTCCTCATTCGTGAGCTCTCGCTCTCTCTCCCTCTCAAAAAAAGAAATAAAATCTTTAAATAAAATCCTGAAGTAGTGCTGACAGAGACATATATCTGGGTCCCATTAAGCAAATATTGGAGGATGTTCCGCACCCCCCTCATCTGGGGCCCAAATTTAATGATCTTAATGGTTCTTTTAAACAATTAATGTCTAGGATCTCTTTTTTTAATCCCATGATGATTTTTGAATACTTTTCTGTAGAGTTGCATACATCATAACAGATACAAATTCATGTGAGTATAACAGTTAAATACTGGGTCTTACTTTTTTAAGTGATTTTTTTTTCCCAGACTTTTAATACTTTATCAGTGAAAGGTAGTAACTCACACTGCCATCCTGCCACCCTTTGGCAGACGCTCTCAAATAATCATCTTGTTGGCTACTTACCACCACCATCCCAGACTGGCCAGGCAGGAATTGTTTACCTTTGAAAGTGAGGAAACAGGTTCTATCAGGTGGGGTGACTTACGCAAGTTCGCTTATGTAATGGAGATAGAATTAAAATGTAGGTCTTTGAATTCTGGAGGCTTTTTTTTTTTCATGACATCATCCTGATTCTGTATATCTTTAAATAACTCAAATTAAGAAATAAATTCTGAACTCATTTGTAGGAATTGGCTGGTGAAAACCATACCATGTGGAATGAAAGTACAGACTGTAGGGGGTTCTATAGGAGCAGGCATCAGGTTTCTTCAATAAATAAATTATAAGGGGAAGAAAAAGAGGTGATGGGGAGTTTAGAAAGTGAAGAGATTTAAGAAGCCTATAATTAATTGCAGTATACGGACAGACCTTGTTTGATCTGATCCTGATTCAAACAGAAAAAAAGTTGAAAAAAAAAAAGATTAAGTGGTGACTCCTTATTTGATTATATTAAGCACTTAATTAGTTTTTTTGGATATGATAATGGCATGTTTACGTTTTACAGATAATCCCTATCTTTTGGAAACATATACTAAAATGTTTATGGCTTAAGAATTGTGATCACTGGAGCCAAGCAGGTTCACATTTCTACTTGCCTTGCAAGTGGAAAGGGAGAACAGGCCTTCCCTTTAAAAATCCATCCAGTGTGGCATGCATCTCTTCAGTGCCAGCCACTTGGCCAGACTGAGTTCACGGCCATGGCCACTGGTGGCAACTGGGAAATGTCTCCCTTAGCTGGCTGGTCGTGTGCCTACTTGAAACACAGGGGTTCTATTACCAAAGGAAAATGGGGAGATTGGGTTTTGAGAAGCAGTAGATGCTTCTACTGCAATGATTATAACTTGCACCATTTTATTTTATTTTTAAAGATTTATTTATTTGACAGAGAGAATGTGAGTGAGTTGGGGGAGAGGCAGAGGGAGAGGGAGAACCTCAAGCAGACTCCCACCTCATACAGAGCCTGACATGGGGCTCAGTTTCACAACCCATGAGATCATGACCTGAGCTGAAACCAAGAGTTGGACGCTTAACCAACTGAGCCACCCAGGTGCCCCCAACTTGTACCATTTTATTTTGTTTATTTTTTAAAAAAAGATTTTATTTACTTATTCATGAAAGACACACAGAGAGAGAGGCAGAGACACAGGCAGAGGGAGAAGCAGGCTCCATGCAGGAAGCCTGACGTGGGACTCGATCCCGGGACCCTGGGATCACACCCCGAGCCAAAGGCAGACACTCAACCGCTGAGCCACCTGGGAGTCTCCCATTTTAAAACATAGACGAAATCAGAAAAATTTAGACTGACGTAAGTAGCAAATGAAAGTGGAGATTCTCACTTTTTTGCTCCTCATTGGTCATCTCACATACTCCTTGGGGTGTATGCACCCAATTTAGAAACTCTGGGTCTCAGCCAGAGGTTATGGTGTCTCAAAAGACTGTGATGGCAGCAGAGATTGGGAGAAGTGGTTCAGGTCAGGCTACATTTTGAAAATACAATCACGAGGAATCTGTAATGTATTGAGGGAGAAGAGTCTCTCATAAGAAATGTGCAAATGACCCCTAGATTTCAGGCTCAGGCTACTGGATGGACAGTGTCACCATTTCCAATGATATTGGAAAGCAGAATAGCAGGTGTGTGGAGGAAATAAGTTTTGTTTGGGACACGTTGTTTGAGATGCCCATTAGATTTCAAATGGAGACATCAGCTAAGGCGCTTTGTTTTGCGAGTCTAGGTCTCTGGTGAGTAGTTCACACTGGAGAAATACGTTTGGCATTTCGTCGGCATTTAAAACTGTGAGACTGGGTGAGATCACCTAGTGGGCAGATAGGACAGAGCGCGGGCTGGGACTGAGTCTTGGGGACTCCAGCATTTAAAGGCTGTTGAGAGGATGAGGGTCCAGCCGAAGAGACTGACAAAGACCTCAGGGAAGCAGGAAGAAAACTCAGCAATGTGGTCTCTCGGGAACCAGGTGAAGAGGGAGTGAGCACCTGCCAGCACAGCAGACAGGTTGTGGAAGAAGAGCAGAGTTAAAAACTGTATTACTGTCATTGTCATCTCCCCTGAATATCTGCTGTCCCAAAGTGGTGGCAGCATCTGACATTATCCCATGGGAGAAAGGTTTTTGGAAGAGACTAGATCAAGTACCATTAGATTTGGCTGTTTAAAAAAAAATTTTTTTTTTAAGTATCAGTGGCTTGGGGCACGCGGGTGGCTCAGCTGGTTAAGCATCTGCCTTTGGCTTGGGTCATGATCCCAGGCTCCTGGGATTGAGCCTGGCATCGGGTTCCCTACTCTGCAAGGAGCCTGCTTCTCCCCCTTCCTCCTCCTGGTTTGTGCTCACTCTTTTTCTTTCAAATAAATACAATATTTAAAAAAAAAGTATTGGTGGCTTAAAACTGTACGTAACTTCTTGCACATTAAAAAAAACATATATATATCTGAAGGTAGGCAGCCTGGGGCATATCATTGCCTGATGAAGTCAGAGGCCCAGGAGCAGCCCGGCTCCTACTACCTTCCCCACTATTTCAGGCAGAAGGATCCAGAATGGGGAGACTTTGGAGAAATCCCACACAACCCTTCTTCCAGCTCGGTGCCCGACACTTAGTCACGTGGTCAAACCTGGCTGCAAGAAAGGCCGAGGAATGAATCTTTTAGTTGAGTGATAGTGTGCCCAGCTGAAAATCTGAATTGTGCTACTAAAGAGGGACGAATGGATAAGGGGCGGGACAAGGGGGTAACTAGCAGTTTCTGGCCAGGGGCCTCTCAGATCAGACAGGTGTGTGACCTCCTGTTGGTTCTAACCCACCTGTATTCCTAATAAGAGGAAAGGGTGTGTGTTCACATTCTCATGCTCATGGATTCATTCTCTTTGCCTCTCCCACCCACCTTCTCTTTCATTCCGGTGCTTGACTTAGCGACCCCACCCCCGGCCCCCCAGCAGTGCATTGTGATCATTTTGCCATATGCTTAAGTATCCCGCCTTTGGATTTTTAGTAGCTGGATAGAGTCCACCTTGTGAATGTGTCATACTTTTCCATTGAAGACATTTAGGTTGTTTTGTCTTCTTGATGTTGTCAGGAAAGCTGCAATAAATATCTCTGTGCCGTTTTTTTTGTTTTGTTTTGTTTTGTTTTGTTTTTGTTTTTGTTTTTTTTTTGTTTTTGTTTTTTTGGTTTTTTTTGGAAGGGCACGTCACTGATCGTTTCTGTAGGTTAACATCTTAGAAGTAGACTTGCAGGGCCAAAGGATCTTAGGAGAGACATCAGTAGTATCTACTCAGTAGGTTGATGGTGATAGCGAATAGCTGTTCCCAAGGATATTAACTCAGTTAATGCTCACAACTGCCCAATGACATAAGCATATTGATCCGTCCCGTTTACAGTTACCCCTTGAGGAAGCCGAGACACCGAGAGGTTAAAGCACTCTCTCAGTGTTGTAATGGTTCAGTGAGACTGTGCGCATATCACTTAGCACGGTGTCTAGCTGCTTTAGGACGAACAATTTTACTAAGGGCTTGTCATACACAACGGCCAAATTGCCCTACCAAATGCATGCTGCTAAGTTAAGCTGCCATAAGCAGTGTGGGCTAGCTGAAAACAACACTCTTACTGTAATATTTGCATCTTCTAAGAAATAACACTGGGCTTGCTATGGGTCAGCCTTGTGCAAGTAAGTTTATAAATACAGTTGATTCTCTTTATTTGGAGTAGTTGTGTGTCATAAAGTCACTGTGAACACAGAATTAGTGAATACTGGGATGCCTGGGTGGCTCAGCAGTTGAGCGCTTGCCTTCGGCCCAAGACATGATCCTGGAGTCCTGGGATCAAGTCTCACATTGGGCTCCCTGCATGGAGCCTGCTTCTCCCTCTGCCTATGTCTCTGCCTCTCTCTCTGTGTCTCTCATGAATAAATAAATAAATATTAAAAAAAAAGAATTGATGAATACTGAATATTGCTTCTGGGAAATGCAGAGTTAGGTTCCTGCAAGCTTCTGATCACACGTTTTTGGGCAAGAAATCAATAAATGACCTTGTTTTGTGTGTGTTTCTATTTAAAGACCCCTGACAATTTATGTATTATTAATGCATTAACATTAGACTCACAGCCCTCAGCACCATGACTTACGCCTAGATGAAGAATATCTAACGCACATATTTTTTTTGTAAGGTCCATCCCAGCCTTCTTGCACTTAGGAATGCTAGACAGCACTTTAACACTATGTTTGGGGCTGTTTTAGACAGTGAAATAGCCATCAGAACGCACAAAAGTGTGGAAAATGTGGCACTACACAGACTAGGAATAGGACACACGTTTCCATTGGAGGAGAGGATACAAGAAGGTAGAGCATTGCCTAGTTTGATCTCCTCTGGGGACTTGCACACCTGGAAATCAGATTTTCCACCATCCCGCTGCATGTGTCCTCCAGGGACCATGAAAGTGCTATGATTATTGGCGTGGGGTTGACATGTACATTTTAATAAGTAGGTGTATTGCAGATATAGAATCTGCAAATAAGGAGAATCAACTGAATCTCATTTTGATCAGTCCAGCTAATTGTATTTCTTTCTTACTGTCTTCTTTTTTTCTTTTCTTTTTCCCAGGGAATTCAAGGAACAGATGGGTTATACTAGGAGTATTCATATTTGTAATAATAGTTACAGTTCTGCTTATAAAAGGTAAGTATACTTTCTTTTTTAAAAAAATAAGTTTCAAAGTTGAATTAATTTTTCAAAGGCCAGGAAATTAATAGTTTGGAGACAAAGTCTGAAATTTTAGGTGTTTTGAAAGAAACCAAGCCTTTTGTTTTTTTTTTTTGTGTGTGTGTGTGTTGCTTATAGTCCAAGGTTGCTGGGGTGCCAGGTTTGCCAAGATTTTGCATGACCTTAAAGTGGAAGGAGCCCTCAGGACATGGAACACAACTGGATGTCCCATGGCTTCCTTCTATTTGTGGTCTGCTTCAACATTTATTACATCTCTGGACTCCAAACTCAATTTTCCAAAGGACCCCTTGCTCTTGGCTGCCACGGCCATCCTTTCCATATCTTCTGGCCCAGAAGGAGGTTCTGGAGAGGAGGCAGCTGTTAATGGGTTTGGTGACTTGGAGTGGGTAATAATGACCCAGTATTATCTGCACTGCCTTCCTGAGCCATCCTTGGTCCCCTAGAGATGCAGGCCAGACTGGAAGGCAAGCCATGTGCCCTGAGGTCTGGCGATCTGTTCCCCTCCTATTCTTTCCTGGTGACAAGAAGCCCCTCCTCAAGTCCCAGAGGACACAGACCAGGCTGTAAATGTGAGGACTAGATGTTCTTGCAGCCTGGACGCTCTCCATATCAGCTTCCTCCAGAGGGCTATTTGCAGGACTGATGTGTCACTCCCACAGGGAATGCTGAAGAGGAAGCTTTTAGGCACGTGATAGCATGTAGGACCCATGTCATCTCACACCCATGTCTTGGGCCACGTTTACCAATTAGACCTGCACTGTTCAGTACCATAGACACTGGCCATGCATCATAGTTTATTTTTTTTAAGATTTTATTTATTTATTCATGAGAGACAGAGAGAGAGAGAGAGAACCAGAGACACAGGCAGAGAAAGAAGCAGGCTCCATGAAGGAAGCCCGATGTGGGACTCGATCCCGGGTCTCCAGGATCACGCCCAGGGCTAAAGGCGGTTCTAAACTGCTGAGCCACCCGGGCTGCCCCGCATCATAGTTTAAATATAAAATTCAATTAATTGAATTTAACTTAAAATTTCTTTCTTCATTTGCATTATCCACATATCAAGTGCTCGGTAGCCACACAGAGCTAGTGGCTACCATAACGGGAGAAGCCAGATAGAGAATTCCATCATCGCAGAAAGTTCAATTGGTCAGTGCTGTCCTAGACTTCTGGTGGCCCTTTGCCACTAGAATGTGGTGCCCCAGGCATCACATGTTTCCATGTTATAGGTTGCAAATACCACAAAGATCCCTAGGTGATAGATTATGAGTCAGCTGACTCTCCTCTAAATACAATATAAAAATCAGCTGAAGAAAGTTTTGAGGCTTCATTACTAATGAGTAAAATACTTGGGGAGCTCAAATGTCCTTGTAAATAAATATTTTTAAGCCCCAGACAGCAGCATCATTGTTAATCATCATCTCCTGAACAGATTGGTCTCCAGAAACCAAAATCATTTTCCACTCATGGTGGTTGTGGGTGTATCACCAGAATACCTGAACCAAAGAAAGATGGTACTGAGTGCACACATAATTCCAAAAAAGTTGGCTGATTTAACTAAAAAAGAAAAAAAAAGTCCATTCAATGGAGAGAAAATGACTCCCATGATCAGTACAGGTAGCACTGTATAACCTAAAAAAAAAGGTGTCTTGAAAAAATCCTTACATGAGCGGCTTAAAGCCATAAATTGGGAAGAAGTGAGGCATTCAGGGTGGAGCTTTCTGAGGGGGTCAGTGAAACATAATCAGCTCCAGCGTCAGCTGGGGTCTCCAGACACTGGTGCAAGTTCCGCCAATCCTGTGGCGTAGGCCGCTGGACGGCTAATGTGGCTCCAGACGAGGGCCCTTGCCTGTGATGGGAAGAAACTGATGTGTATGCATGTGGAAGCCATATCTTACTGTTCAAAACCACGTTGACCAAAATGGTAGCCATGAGTCACATGCAGCTGTTGAACCCTTGATACATGGGAGTTCAAACTGAGATGGGCCGTAGATCTAGAAGACGCACTGGGTTTACAAGACTCAGTATTAAAGATGGACTGCAAAGTATCTCATTAGTTCTATTTATCTTGATTCCATGTTAAAATAAGAGTGCTTTGGATATGTGGGGCTACTGAATAAGGTATTTTGAACGTTATCAAGATTTCAAAATGCAAAATGAAAATGAATCTTCAAAATGAAAAAAAATTTGAAAATGAATTCCACCCAGTTCTTTTTTACTCTGTAATGTGACCACTGAAATTTTAAAATTACCTGTGTGGCTCACATAATCCTGGGGCAGCGCTGGCCCACATCATCCTAGGCTGCCCTTCCTTTTTAGCCTTCTGCATGAGCTGCTGTAGACATACCCATTCTCTTAACAGTGTTCGGTTTTGTTTCTATCACCTAATGACCAGTGTTGGGACACCTCTTTGGACCGCCTCTGTAGTTAGCTTGAGTGAAGCATTTAGGAGAACAGGAGACCCCCTTGATGGGGCTGTGGTTTAGAGTGCTCCAGATTCAGGTCTCTCTCAAGCAGTTAGTAAATAATAGATTTTAGCTTTGCTTTTCAGTCCTTTAACTGTGATGAAAATTTCTTTGTTTGCAGTTTATCTGAAATGTGGCAGAGAAACAGTCACAGCCAGGTAAGTACCCTGCAGACCGTGTGGCAGGTAAATTTTGTATCATGCAGCAGAACCAGAAGAGCCCTGATGTGGAGTGCCTACCCCTTGGGGACCACATTCTATGTATTGGTCACTTGTCTTGAATGGTAACAAGTCCCATCAGCAGAGACACCCACCACTGTTTCTCAAGCACCACCTGTGTCAAGCACTGGAGGAGACACGTCCCATGTGTCACCTCCTCATACCCTCTCAGTGGGCCTCGCACAGGGGTGTCATTACCACTTGCTTTCAGACAGCGACTACGAGAAGTCAGTCCCGTTGCTAAGAAGCAGTCAAGCTGGGATTCAAATCTGGGTCTTGTGACACCAAGGGTTAGACTGTCTGCCCCCTCCCATCCCCAGAGAACTGGATTAAGGATTGGGAGCCAGGGTCAGAGCTGAGCCTGTATCACAAACAAAAGCTAGGATCTAGACATGGTTAACAGTAAAAGTGCTTACTCAACTGCCATAAGGAGGCTCCAGAAGGACCCCTGTCCCCCGCCAAGTCCTCAGCAGTCAGGAGGCAGGGGCCCAGGAGCTGGGCTTTAGGGGATGATGGAGAAGAGAAGAGGCTCAGGGTTATATAGGGCACATAGGGAGTGACAATGTCGGTGAATAGAGGAAGCTGGGGCTGGGCTGGCAGGTTGGGCCAAGCCAAGATATTGAGAAAAAGTTGCCAAGAGATTTGTGTCATTTTTTTCCGGGGATCACTGAGGATTTCTGAGCAGAGCCATGCTTCAGACAAACCATAGGGGAATTAACAGACTAGAGGCTGCAGATAGCGACACTGGTTTGTGGCCAAATGGAATAACCCAGCCAAGCAGAGAGGGCCTGAATCAAGGTGGTCATGCCAAAGCAGCCCTGGAGGGCTAGGTGTAGGAGGAAGGGTGGTAGTCATATTCACGAACACTTCAGCTGCAGGGGGCAGGCTCCCGGGGGTGGGGGAGATCCCTGCCAGCTCATCTCTCATGGGCCTCGGATGAGTCACTTCCACTCTCTGCGCCTCAGTTCTCTTCTATGGAAAACAGGCATAATGATAGTACAGAGATCAGAGTAACCATGCAGGTAATCACAGCCTAGAAATAGCAATGTGTATCAACCAATTAATAGAAATAAAATGCAGAGAACAGTGACTGACTCAGAGGGTGCTGGATAGATGCTATCATGCTGTTATGGTATGAGTATTATTATTCAGAGAAGAAGTCGGAAGTGACAGGGATTCTGACGCTTGGTGTGCAGAAGACGACGGCACTGGCAGGCATAGCAGAGGACAGGGCTCCGGTTTGAGAAGGTTGGTGTGTGCTGTGACAGGCTGAGTCTGGGGTGCAGGCACAGTCCTGGGGTAATGATGTCCAGCACATAATTGCCAATGTAGCTGTAGGGGCTGGGGCTGGAGCTACAGATAGGGGCACATCTTCCTCAGGCCAGTAGCTGATGCCCAGAGCATCTAAGGTCATCCAGAAATACAAGGCCAAGGCCCTCTGGTGATGGGCAGAGGTGGAGGAGCTAGGGGGGACAAGGCTGGGAGGAGAGTCAGGGCCGCATGCTGCTAGAGATCCTCAGGGAGGGGCACTGGCGAGGAGAGGCTAAGGACGGGGATGGGTGGTCAAGACCCTTGGCTCTGCCGAGCAAGTTGCTGATTTTCAAGAAAGCCACTGGGGTCGGTGGTTGGAGTGGGAATGAGGAAGAACTGCAGCCCAGCAGCAGGCACCTGTGTGCAGTGGGGCCCGTGGGCTCTGAGGTTCCCCTTCTCCTCAGCTCCTGGGCAGGACACCTCTAGTTACCAGGGAAGCCGGCTATGGCAGGAACCTTGGGGCAGCTCTGTGAGCCTCCCAGTGAGGCTGTGAGAGGCTGGTGGGCCAGGAGGCCATGCAGAGGGGGCTGGAGGGGGTTTGAGCAACAGCGGGTGAGGTGAGCAAGGTGTGCCAGCAGGGAAGTGGAGAGAGAAAGAGGATGAGGGGCTGTGGTCAGATGTGGGTGTTAAGAGTTTTTCAGCAGGAAGCATGAGTGCCAGGGGAGGGCGAGATTCCAGGGAGGCCTGTGCTGAGACCCAGCTGGTTATGGTGGAGGGGTGGCTATCGGAACCACGACTGCCGACCGTGGTTCGAGGAGGGCTGTGAGCCAGGGCCACTGGGAGAGGCGATGGGGTCTCCCAGAACTCATGCTCTGTTCATTCAGCACACTTTCACGGAGGTTACTCCAGTGAGGCCAGGCACGGTGTTAGCTAATGGCTTGAGAGCATGGACCTAGGGAGGCTAGACATTGTATCGGACTCAGAGAAAGGATATGTGAGGGCTCCCAGCCTTGAGAAGCTTGTGGGCACACTGGAGAGAATGGATGAGGACACGACCAGCTCAAAGGGCTAGGCACGGAGTCATGGGCCAGAATGTGTGATGTGGACGGTCAGGGCTGGGCAACCAGCCAAGGGGAGGCCAAGACACCAGAATAAACATGAAGACTGCGAGAGAAATAGAACGTGAGCTAGATCTTCAAAGCAGGGGTAGAATGGAAAAGGCAGTCTAGCTGGGAGAGGCAGCAGAGGCAAGGACATGGAGGGGAACTAAATCCTCATGGTCTATTTGATGGAGAGATTGGCCCACGTCACATCAAGCTGAACAGGTGGCAAAAGATTGAAGTCAGGGGCCTTAAGATGAAGTGATATGGGAATAGGGAGCCGTTGTAGGTTCTTGAGCAGGAAGGTTCTGAAAAGCATGATGAGCACTGCTTCGGGGTAATGAGTCTAGGAAGGTAAAAGTGACATCTGAGGGTGACATCCTGGGGAAAGACCTGGGTAGCTTGGGGCTGGGCATAGAAGCTCACACTTCTTGGTGCATTTTTGCTTACTATTCAAATTTTGTACTTTGTGTGTTTCCTACCTACTACATAATAATTTTTAAATTTAAAGAGCCCATGTGGCTCAAGGGGAAGTTCCCTAAACTCTCTTTTTAAAGAGTTACATGTATAGTGGAGGAGTAAGGGTTGGAAGAGAAGTGGGGGAGGGGACAAGCAGAACCAGGAGCAAAAGCTAAATTGTCACATCTCTGTGAGGACAGTGTCTAAAAGAGCTAGCCCCAGTTAGCAAATACCCAAGGACAGCCAAGTAGATCTCAGCTCTCTGAGGGAAAATGGACATGGTATTATACCTCTTACCCAGACAGCTCAATGTCGGCAATTTCCAGCTGTGCTGGTAGTCTCTGTTTTCGTGTAAATGCCTGGAAAACAGGTCACAAGGTCAACCAAGTTACAAAGGGAGCAGAGAGCCCCATTCTCTGGGAAGACAGATTCGCAGTCTGCGGGGCCATGTCTGTACCTGCTGGGTGAGCTGGAGAGGCAGGCCTGATTCCTTGGCAGTCATTGTGACAGGTGTGGGTGTGGGTGAGGAGAGCCCCAGGGGCAGGAGGCTGGGAGCAACCAGGCATCTACCCCTGCACCCACTGTGCTGCTCTAAGGAGCCCTGAGCCTGCCCAGACATGTTGACAGAGTACCTCTCACTTCATCCCCCTCAAAAATTCACAGCACCCATTTCCATGTTCTGTGAGATTCCTAACAAGGAAGACTTGTAACCAGAGATCATAAAGAGTGAACACTGGAGTCTTTGGGATCTCTGGTCACCATTGGAGTATAGATATTTTGGGAACTATCTGGGTGCACCCATCCCATCTGCTCTGACCTATGAAGTCCCTACACTTGGAGGGAGGGCACTTGGAGGGAGGGCTCGAAGCAAGAACTGGAGCCTCCTTTTAAGGGGGCATGGCCAAGCAATACTGCAGCCTTGTGCTGGGGCCGTTTCTTCTGAGCTAACCTCTGAGCTAATTGGGGTGGTTCTATTATCACCACAGAAATGACTCAGGAAGAGAGGCTGAGGAATAAGAAAAACATAACCAGAGATCATAAAGGGTAAGCACTAGAGTCTTTATGATCTCTGGTCACCAGTGGAGTATAGGCATTTTGGGAACTCTAGGTTCTGAAGGCTCAGCTGTGTTCTTTGGAGATTTCCATGACACCCAAAGCCATTGTAGGTTCTTGAGGAGGAAGGTTCTTAAAAGCTAAATTGGACCAAAGGTTCTGAAAAGATAAATTGAACCAAAGCTAAATTCAACCAAAGACTGAGTTGGTTGGAGGAGATGGGGCTTAGGATGAGTGCTTAGCGCTGAAGGTAGTACGTCATGTAGACTTCTAGCCACCATCCCAGGAGGCCCTAAGACTGGTTTCCCTCCATCTCCACTCCCCAGAGCCCTTGGTTTAGTTTGGTTTTTTTTGTTTTGTTTTATTTATTTATTCATGAGAGACACAGAGAGGTAGAGACACAGGCAGAGGGAGAAGCAGGCTCCCATGTCCGGACTAGATCCCAGGACTCTGCGATCATGCCCTGAGCAGAAGGCAGACACTCAACCACTGAGCCATCCAGGCATTTTGAGCCCTTGGTTTTGATGGGTTTATGGTAAAAGGGCTACTCACATTACAGTAGGAGGGTAACTACTCTTGGTCTGCATCTTACGAGTCACTAACATGAGACCTTTTTTTTTTTTTTTTTTTAATAGCTCCAGCTGACCGGTACTACAAGATGAAATGTATAGTTACTAAGTTATTTAAATAACGGAATGGAAAGCCATCTGATTAACCATTCAAGTATTACATCATCTTCAAGGGAATTTTGGAAGTTTAATCTGAAGTGGCCCCTCATCAGAATATTCTGTTTTGGAAGCAATATCACCCAACAGCCAGCATCAGTATCTATTCTATGCCTCTTACAGTCTATGACTAGATACTATAAGTGACTTTTATCTTGAAATTTTTTACTACAAATTTTATATTGCATATAAAGTTGTAAATATATGTAACTTGGTGTAAATATGTACATAAGCAGTAGGTAGTTTGGCATTTTCTTTTCCTCTTAGTCAGAAAAATATGATCACATACCTCAGAAGGTAAAGGCTTTTTCCTAAAATCTGTCTTCCACTTCCCTTTTGTTTTAGAGGGAAAAGGTTCATTGCGGAATTGGCAGTGGAGTGAGAGAAGAGATGGGCAAGATACTTGCCATGTGCTGGGTCCGTGGCTTTTGACTGAAGGCAAGAACACATGGGTCTCTGGTTTATTTTGCTGAGACCAGGCCACCACCATCTAAACATGAGGAGGCTTGTCTCATTAAGATCTCCTAACTCACTCAGTATCTGGTGTTAGTGGTCACATGGGCAGGGAGACAGCAGAGAACTCTTAAAAACTGTGAAATCCCATATAAATGCAGAACAGCAGACTCTTGAATGAGGAAGTGGATGACCCTGGCTGGCCCTCGGGTAGCCGTCGTATATGCCAACATGCTAGGCCTTGAGCTCCTGAACTCACACCACCCCTGGAACTCCTGTCACATAAGAGTCTTCTGCCTAAAAGAGGAAACATTGCTTTTTTACACTAAGGCAAAGTGCATTGAAAGGAGCCCCATGGAACAGCTCTATCTGGGTCCCCCACAACTTTCAGCAAGAATGAGGTGGGGACCTGGGAGCCCTGAGTACTCCTAGGAGGACCCCTACTTCTCCATAGTCCTCCTACCTCTGGCCAGCAAAGCTTCCAATCAAAGTTTGTATTGGGCTGATCCTGTGAAACCCTTCATTCCAGGCCCTGTGGGGACTCCCAGCACATCCTTTACCTTCCAGTATATAGGCTTCATCGCTATATGCTCTGAAAGGCCCTTTTCAGCCCCTCCAGCAACAGCAAAATTCCTTGTGTTCTCTGCTATGCATGTTCCCTTCACCTTTCTGTACTCACTGAAACCTGACCTCCCCAAGGGTGCTGCTTCCTGAGGCCCTGTCTAGGGCCCGCAGCTTTCTCTCCTGTACCCCTGGGACACTGGGCAAGAGTGCGGGCCAGTGTCCTGCTGGCTTCTGCCTGCTTTGAGCCCATGCCTCCATCCTTATTTCCAATGGGCAAACCAACCGATCACCAGCATCAGATGTCCCCCTTTTCTCGATCTTTTTATTACTCCTTAGCCTGTGGAGATTTTAGCACTAGGTCCAGAACACTCTTTCCTAACACTCCAGCCTTCAGAAACTGAGTGTGCTTTCAGAACCTCCAAACCAGGGCCTGGGCATGGCCTGCCCCAAGCACCTTGTCCTCCTCCCTTCCCAGCAGCCACCGCCCTGGTCTTGCCCCTGACCTTCCACCACCAATGCCTGCAGCCCCTCACAGTCTCCATTACAAGCATCCCGCTCCACTCTGTCTTGTGTGTCTCTTTGTGAGGACCCCACTCCACAGACCCTGCAGCCCCACCAGGTCCTGCAAGCCAGTGACCCCACTGCCTCTCACCAGCCCACAGACACTGGGACTTCTCATTTCCTGAACCAAGCGGGGTCTCCCTGTTCATCATGAGAGGGACTCTGCTACCTTCACTCTTTCACCCTCCTGCTTGTCCTCACTTGGCCAGATCCCAACCGTGTGTGGAGTCACCTCTGCTGGTTGCCTCCTCATACCTGAGCTGCTGCACAGGCAGGACAGCACAGGGCTGAGGAGTGTCATCTTAGGGACCACAGACCCCCGAGGGGTTCCCAGTGGCTCCCAGATGGCGTTATTGCATCACCCTGGCCCGCTCACTGTCTCCTCATCTCCCTTCCTAGACTTGCAGCCCTGGGTCCTCGTGCTTGGCTACTCACCTCGCCTCCTCTGTCACCGAAAACAAAAGCATCTAGAAGAACCTCCCACCCCATGTCCACACACCCAGCAGCATTGCCAACCATGTTCTTTGCCTCCCCTCTCGTGACTGACCATGAACCTTCCATGTTCCTCCCAAAACCAGTGTCTCCCCTTGTCTTAGTCTGCTGGGGCCTCCGTGACAAACTACCATAGATGGGGTGACCTAAAAGGCAGTAACTTCTTTTCTCACAGTCCTAGGGGCTGGAAAGTCCAAGATCAAGGTGCTGGCTGCTTCAGCTCCTGGTGAGGGCTCTCTTCCCAGCTTGCAGGTGGTTGCCTTCTCACCATGTCCTCACAGCTGGGAGAAGAGTCCTGGTGTCTCCTCTTCTTCTCAGGGCAGCAGCTCTATCAGAGCAGGTTTCTACCTCTATGACCTCATTGAACCTCTGTCACCTCCTCCCAGGTCCTTTCTCCAAATAGAGTCACACTGGGGTTAGGGTCTCAACATGTGAGTCTTAGGACAAAATTTCTGCCTATAACACTGCTTATGCGCAGGATCCCACCTGCCCTCATCTACTTCAGGACATCACCTTCCTTGTCCACCTCTCTCCTGCATCATCAGCATTGACCTTTCTGCTACCTCATACAAACATACTGTCATTTCTCATATCTTCAAAAAACCAAAATCTTCTTGAATCACTTCCCTGCCTAGCTCTTGTCTCAGTTTTCTACTGTCTTTAACGGAAAAGTTTCTCAAAAGAAATGATCTGTACTTTTTTTTTTCTTAGTCCTCTCTTATTCCTTCTTGAACCTGCCTCCATCAGGCTGTCTCTCTCTCTCTCTCTCTCTCTCTCACACACACACACACACACACACACCCCACTGCTTGCAAGATTACCAGTGATACTACACACACACACACACAACACACACACACACACACTGTGGTATCTGGTGGATAGTTCTCTAGCCTCTTCTTGCCCTGCTTGTAAGCAGCATCTGACTCAGTGGAGCACCTACTACATACTGAGCACTTTGTAGGCACTAGGTTCTATGGGGTATGTGGGAGGCAAACAGATTTATGGATGCTTCTGTTGAGTGCACTCAGTCCTAAAATGGAAATATATACAAAGAACTAAGGATTATAACCATATGACCCAACTATTTTACTCCTTGCTATGTACTCAAGAGAAATAAAAACATTCCACACAAAAACTTGCATGTGAATGTTCACAGTCATGATTCACAATAGCCCAATACTGGAAAAAATCCATATGTCCATCGACTGATGAAAAGATAAATGTTGCATATCCATACGATGGGATAGTAGTCAGTATAAAAAGTATTGACGGTCTGAGGGTGACTGGGTGGCTCAATTGGTTAAGTGTCTGACTCTTGATTTCAGCTCAGGTCTTGAACTCAGGTGGTAAGTTCAAACACCACGTTGGGCTCCCTGCTGGGTATGGAGCCTACTTTAAAAAAAAAAAAAGTAATGAGGTCTGGTATGTGCTATAACATGGGTGAGTCTTGGAAACATGCTCAGTGAAAGAGGCCAATCCAAAGAGACCACCTGCTATTTAATTTCCTCCATACAAAATGTCCAGAAGAGGCACATCTATAGAGCCAAAAAGTAGATTCTTGCTGGCCTAGGGTTGGGAGAAGGATATTGGGTTAGGGGAAGGTGTGACTGCTGATGAGCATCTGGTTTCTTTTTCGGGGGATGAAAATGTCCTAATATTGTACTAATTGTGTAACTGTGAATAGACTAAAACCATCAAATTGTACACTTCAAATGAGTAGCTTGTGCTGTGTATGAATTATGTCCTAATAAAACTGTTATTGTAACAAAAAGAACTAAGGAATTAGAGGAGGGCCGGCCCTGGGAAAAGCAGCAGGCAGGGGGTTCCTCTCCCTGAAGCCGGGCTTCCTCATCAGCTGCCTCAGCCCTGGCTCCACACTGGAGGCTGATGGATGACACAGTTGACTTCCCTGCCCTCAGCACTCCGACTCCATCTCCCCCATTCCACCTGGGGCTGAGAGTTACCAGAGATCAAAGCAACTTTCTATTTGGAAGGCAGAGCAAAAAACAATAATCAAGTCTCGAACACCAGCCAGTGAGTCTAGGAAAGTGTCATGAGCCAGAGTTCAGCGTGGACATTTGAGCCAAGTCATCCCACCATGTGTCTCCTCTGGGCCACCCTCAGCCATGCTCTGTCCAGCATAGACAGCCCCTGCTCATTCGTCTTCTGCACTCCCCTTCCCTGTCCTCCTCCTGGGGTGCCCTCCTACAGAACCCGGGGAACCTCCCACCCACCCTCAGCCCTGGACTATACCCCCTACCCCCTGCCCTCGGCCTGGTCTCTGCGTGTAGCCTTGCCCACTTCTCTGCATCCCTGGTGCTCCTCCCTGGCCCTCAGGCCCCCCAGCAGCCCTCCCCGAGGGGCAGGCTGGCACTCTTGCACTCCCAGATTTGTGCATCAGGAAACCCACTTGTATAAGGTCGTACAAGGTCAGATGGTCACAAGTGGAAGAATCAGGATTCCAAATGAGGCAGCGTAGCCCCAGAGGTCTCTTCACCACCAGGCTATATGTGAGAAGATAGAGGAGTGGGGTCCTTCTTCCACATATAGTGGAGAGACCTCTGACCAGTGAACATTCACATGCAAGTTTTTGTGTGGAAATGTTTTTATTTCTCTTGGGTATATGCCAAGGTTTTATGTCTCCCCCCTCCCCCCACAATTAAGGGATCAGATGTGTCCACCAGCCAAAGCAAGCACAGCCCCAGCCACCAGGCCACTTACTGAGAGGCCTAGCAGGAGCCCAGCACCCTGCCAGGGCCTGTGTGGTCAGAGGGGGGCGTAGCCAGGGACAACGGAAGTGGAAGGAAAGTGAGCAAAGGCGTGGGTTCCCTGGGCAGCCTGTGCTCATATCTGACGTCTGGAGAGTAAGAGTCCTTCCTCTGAAGGCTCTTTCTCTTCTCCATCTCTTTTTTTTCTTCAAGATTTATTTTTCAAGAGTGTTTCCCACAAAAAGAAAACTATTGATTGAAGTGGCAGGCCTATGATCAGGGAAATACACTGAAAGCCTCCATGAGATCCCACCTCACACTGGGTAGCATGGCTAAAGGGAACAAGTCAGGACACAACAGGTGTTGGCGAGGATGTGGAGAAGGGGAGGGGGCTCTTGCACTGCTGATGGGAATGCAGCCGCTCTAGAAAACAGGGTGGAAGTTCCTCAAAAAGCTAAAAATAGAGCTATCCTATGACCCAGCAATTGCACTACTAGGTATTTACCCCAAAGGATATAAATATAGTGATTCAAAGGGGCACCTGCACCCCAATGTGTATAGCAGCAATGTCCCCAGTAGCCAAACTATGGAAAGAGCCCAGATGTCCACGAAAAAGTATATATAATAGATATCTGTATCTTGTTATAATGCAATGACGTGGATGAAACTAAGAGGGTATAATGCTAAGTGAAATAAGTCAGTCAGAGAAAGACAAATACCATATGATATCACTCACATATGGAATTTACAAAACACAACAGATGAACATAAGGGAAGGGAAGGAAAAATAAAATAAGATGAAAATTGACAGGGAGGCAAGCCATAAGAGACGTCGAACTCTCAGGAACAAACTGAGGGTCGCTGGAGGGGAGGTGCATGGGGGATGGGGTAACTGGGTGATGGGCATTAAGAAGAGCACTTGATGTGATGAGCACTGGATGCTGTATACAACCGATGAATCACTAAATTCTACCCTTGAAACTAATAAGACACTATAGGTTAACTAAATTGAATTAAAATAAAGCACTTTTTAAAGAGGAAAACAAAATAAAACAAAAAGTAGTAGACCCATGTGTGTTGATTTGGGAATCATTGAAAAGCACCCCAATCAAGGCCTCCTCCCTCACCAGCCTCCTGAAATCCCCTCGCTCGCTCCTTCCGGTACAAGCAGGTCAAGCTAGAGGCCTGTTTAAAGATGACTCATGAAACCACCTCATCAGCACACCTCTCCTGGCCAATCCACTTGAAGACTTGAGTGAAAGAAAAAAATGTGTGCCCTTGTATACACATCTGTATGTATTTCCCTAATGAGCAAGATGTTTCTAGAACATTATAGTAACAAAAAAAAAAAAAAGAAAAAAGAAAGAAAGAAAGAAAGAAAGAAAGAAAGAAAGAAAGAAAGAAAGAAAGAAAAGTAGATATAGTAAAACTCAACAGTATTTTAAGTTTAAATATTTTGTTTATACTCCAAAATAGTACTTTCCTGGCTTTAATGACAAACTCATCAGTAAGAATTTCAAAGTCTACTTCTTTGTTTATCTTATTTTCAGTGGATAACATTGCCGTGCTTAAGAATTTCTCTTGACCAGGTGGGCCGATGATGGCTACTGAGGCCTGCCCAAAGGGCTGGCTGTACCCACCCCTACCACCCCCATGCTATGCAACCCTGCTTAGGCCTTGGAGACCAACACCAGCCTGGCCCAAGCACCCAGGTTATCTCACCCCCAGGAATTAAAAACATTATCACCCCTGTTGTTCCCCAGAAAAAGAAAAGAAAAAAAAAGAATCCCTCTTAACCAGGTGATGCTCTTAACTTCCAACTGACTTTAGCTCATTCCAAAGCCTTTCAGATCCTGTGTTTAAAGTGTTGAGCTTTCGTTCTTCACGTATTTTTTTTGCATGAATTTTGATTCTTTGCCTGAATTTATTGCACTAAATGTCATTTATCTTGATTCCTGAGTTCTTTCAGCACCCCCTGAAATGTTGCACCCTTGCTGAGGACCTCACCCTCATCCCAGCCCAGCTGAGACTCCTCTGATAGCAGAAGTATCATAGGAGAAGAAAGAAAACCAACTCATTCATTCAACAATGAAGTCATGCATTCAGCCAGCCAGCCAGCCAGACAATATGTTAACTGAGTGCCTACTATGTGCCAGGCACTGTTCTGGAAACTTGAGACAGTATTAAAGGCTAAGAGAAGAATAAAATAGGAAACTGGCGGCAGGGATGGGTGAGGTGGCAGGAGGTGTCAGAAGGGGTAAGGTAGAGCTCTATGAGAGTGAGGGCCCATTGTGTCCACAGAGTAGGAAACCGTCAGCCCATAGGATGTTTTGTGTACCCTTTAAGGTGTTAATTTTTTTTTTAATTTGGATGTCTTTAGATGTACGTCGCGCTCTGTTCCACCATTGGCTCTATGCTTCCCTATTGTCTTGCACTCATTTGTTTCCTGGCTCTGTGCCCCAAGCCATGTAGACAACTGTGTGCCTTAGAGGCAACAGAGAGAGCCACAGGACAGATGGGGCAAAGGACAGCCAGCCCCCACCTGTGTGGCTGGGAAATCAGGGGTGAGTACCCTCTACCCTCACGTCTTTTATAGCGCGAAGTCACAGTCGCGGATGCCACACTGGGTGCATGAGAAGCACTGAGGTTTAAGTTTTCCACCAACAGAGAGAAATAAGAGCTGAGTCAGAAATAAGTGCAGTTATGGACACTAGGGAATGTTACATTTCTTTCATGTTTTAGTTCATGGACTAAGAATCACATCCACAAGAATAGTGTCTATTGAACCTCTTCCATGTTCCAGACACCTTCAGACTCCTAAGCCCTATGCAATCCTCACCATAGCTGCTCAAGCTAAGTGTGATTTTTCCCACTCTCGTTCTCCATTTCCCAGGTGACAGGCCGATACTCAGAGAGACGAAGTGATTGGCCCAAAGACGAGCAGTGAGCTCCTGGTGGAAGTACCCAGCTCCTATCCATCTGCTCCAAGAGTAAGTTCTTTGCTGTAAACCTTGCTGCCTATTGAAGAAATGGAATGCCTCCCCCATCCTGTTGCTGCAAATGTTATGTAAGGTGTGCACAATGAAATTGGCCTGGATGGTTCTCTCTCTCTCTCTCTCTCTTTCTCTCTCTCTCTCTCTCGTAAATACCTCTAGGAATACCCATCTCATTTGAGCCTCAGGGAAACTCTGTGAGTGACACAGTGTCACCCCATTTTGCAGACAGGGAATAGGTGTGGTGACATAAAATGATGAAATGTCCAAAGTTAGCTAGCAAGTTAGGAGATGTGAAGCTGAGCCAGAGTCCTGTCCCACCGCAGCATCACCCATCTCAAGACAGGATTGCAAGCTTGTGGGCCACCCGCCCGGGTCAAGCCACTTACCCCAGACATCTTGCCATATCTACAAAATGCTACATAACATATAGTAAAAGGGTTGGCATCCTCCATGTCTGCTGACCCTCACACTCACTCACCACCCCAGATGTTTCAGTCACAGAATCACTGACTGATCATAGAGCTGGATGTGACCCAGTGGGGCAGCTCCCCACTCACCAGTTCAAAGCACGTAAGGGTTTTCGGTGGAATTCTGCTGCTTGTGACCGACTCGCCAAGCCAAGTGACCCCGTGCATTCTCTCCGTGAAACACCTGCTCCCTTTCCCCTCCGCAGGAATACTGACTGCACAAAACAGAGGGTGCTCGTGGCTTTCAGGATGCCACACACTATGTATCTGCCTGTTGAATGAATGTCACCTGCAGTGATATGTGTGTTCCCAACCCTGTTCTGTGCCAGTACTGCTTCAAGGAATG